CCCTTAAGCATGCAAGACAATCGAGTGATACTTAAAGGTAATTTGCTCAAGCGATGGCGCAGTGAATGGATAGAATACTGTTTTACTAATCCTACAAGATACAACCTCATACACCCTAGCCTGCCACGAGGATACTGGCACGAAAATTTCAAAATACCTAGAAAATATATTTCTTGCATCACCCGTGCGAAAATAGGACATGGTGTTTTTCCATCACACCTTGCAAGATTAAATTTGGTCCCATCTGCACTGTGCGATGTTTGTGAAGTTTATGGTGACTTGGATCACTGTTTCTTTGGTTGCGCTAAATTCCTGGATCACTGCAATGCACTCTACTCCGATTTGGTGAAATCTGGCATATCTGCCCCCCTAAATACATCTCATGTATTTTCGCTAGGTAGATCTGATGTGATCGTTCTCGTTGTTAAATTTATCAGAAATTCTGGCATCAAAATATAACAATCGTATTTTAGTTATCCTCTGTTTTTTGTACCTTTATGTATAAATATATCCTTCATATCCGTGGCCTAATTGTTGTATGTGAAAAATGAAAAATGCCCTGACGGGTCCCTGGGCGAGAAGAACGTGAGTCCCTGTCTGACCCATCCTCTCTCCTCCCCCTTAGAGTTGCATAGGTTTAATAAGTAGTTATGGTGTCCTTTAGACACTAATGTCATCTGAAAATTTGTGTGTAATGCTTAACCCCCGCCCCCTCCTGATAACACTTTCTTAGTTCTTCTATATTTACTTTTTTGTTTTTCATCCAGAGTGGAGAGTGTGCATTAGAAGAAATTTAATAATCATTTTCTCCATACTGTTTGTTAAGTACTTGCTCCTTCGCCCAAATACGACTGTGCCACCAAAATGTCTTTCCTGCAATACCCTGATAGCTGAGGGGATCTGCTTGCTACGTCATTGCCATTTTACACGTCTTAAATTATATATGTCTGTATGATATAATAGATAAATACTTGATTCTGGCTAATGGAGCAATGTCCTAGTGCCAAAAAAAAAAAAAAAAAAAACTGTAATTGCCCGAAAAGAAAGTCCAGCTTCCCGAAGTCCCACTATACGGCCCCTATCAAACTCAGTAAGTTGACGAAATCGTATAGGTCTCCGTACTCTAGGCATCGTAACTGATCGTAAAGGATGTCAAGAACCAAAATCCGCCAACGTTGATTCTTTACTGCGGCTGAAATATTCATTTTAGGGCGTTAGTGAATTAAAAAAAAAGCAGTATAAAAACCGGAATGTCCAACTGATAAGGCTGAACATTTTTCCCTTGTTATTTACAGTAAGATAAATACATTCACCAACTTTTATTAAAATAAAACCATTTAAACTGGGTGTTCTTATTTATATGTCACTTAGTATATTTGAAGCTACATAATACCAATCGTTAAAGTCGCATGTGCCTAGTTTATAAAAGCTGAGGGAATTCGAACTAAAAACTCTATTCAACTGTGCAAAAATCCAATATGACGTCTATAAAAAAATGAGATGATTTTTGTTGTTACAGCTTAACTCTCGAATTGCGGATGTTGGAGCTATACTGGCTCAGAGCTGTTGATAAACTTCACAAATCGGACTAACAGCTTACGTACGCGCCTGCAGCAATCAACTAATTCTTAGACGTGCTCAATAGGGAGCATCCCAACTAAGTGTATGCCTGCTAGCAAATCTGTTAAGCAAACGTATTCGAGGTCAGTTGCTTCTGCTCTATTTGCGTCTAATCAACTAGAGAGCACCTCCTATAAATTGCAGGTCTGCCATTTCAAGGAACTGCAACGGATTGGGTCTTAAGTGCAGCAGAGGTTCTGTAGTGCACAGATTAGGGGGAATGTGAAAAGCGACTGGACATTATCGAGCCCATGTCAGCGTCTGATTTATCTTATTTTTACAGAGACTTGAGTATTCTCTCACTAGATAAAAATTCAATTTCACTAACAACAACAAATAGTTTAAGTTAATATTTTAAGGATAATGCAGCCTACCCCCGTTTCTTAGATCGTGTTTTGGAAAAAAAAGTATTTGAAATTCATACGAGGTCTGTAAGTTGAGTGATAAGCCCGATCCCACAAAATGACTTCCATCACACATTGAAACAGAACTCGTTTGGAGTTTTGATACTCTTAGTTCATAGGGAAAAATTCTTGAAACATACTTTTTGAAGATATGATAGTGAAGCCTGCCATGTTTTACTGTACTATTATCGGTTAAAGAGCACTAAATGCATTGTAAAGGCACGTGTCTGTTTCTAATCCTGAACTTCCCCGTTCATGGCAAGTCCTTTCAACTTTAAATTCCTGTCGCTGAATTTTTTTGGACTCCTTGACTTTCACGTTATTTATGGGCATTCCATTTTTTCTGTGGATTTCCCTTCATATCCTTAGCTAATGTAAGCGAATCGCGGAATTTCGTAAAAATTGAGCGTTTATATGTTTGAATACAGTTATATCGCTCCCTCATTTTACAGGGCCAGCGCTAAGTAAAAAATGGCGTCAAGTGGATGGACTCAATTCCGGACAAATTGACTTTAAATATATAGTCAACTCTCACAGTCTGATATCTGTATTATTTAAAGGCTATGAAAATCGTTGTATCCTAACATGATACCCTAGAGAAAGATGATTGAAAAAATGAATTTGTGGATTTTGAATATGCACCACGGAATAGTATCTGAGACAGCTTTCTACTTTCTATTTGCTATCCATGGGAACTGTTACAGCTGGTGAGGTTAGAAAATAAGTATAATTGAATTGTTGATTCAACTTTTTTTTCGAAATACTTGGCTCTGACTACCCATAGAGAACACTATCTGGAAAATTTTCGCACGCCCTCGTACCATTACATCATCGCGCGAGCTGGAACAAAGTACGCATTGCTGAATTCGGATCGGGCCCTCTGCAGGATAAAGGATATCGCGTGTTTCTAGACAGCTGGTGTTGTTCTAGAGTCAGAGACGTGGATATTATGGGAAATATGAGTGATACAAGTACTATTGGAACCACATATACTAAGTGACATATAAATCCGAACACCCAGTTTAAATGGTTTTATTTTAATATAAGTTGGTGAATGTATTTATCTTACTGTAAATAACAAGTGAAAAAATTTTCAGCCTTATCAGTTGGACATTCCGGTTTTTATACTGCTTTTTTTTAATTCACTAACGCTCTAAAAATAAATATTTCAGCCGCAGTAAAGAATCAACGTTTGCAGATTTTGGTTCTTGACATCCTTTACGATCGGTTACGATGCCTAGAGTACGGAGACCTGTACGATTTCGTCAACTTAGTGAGTTTGATAGGGGCCGTATAGTGGGACTTCGGGAAGCTGGACTTTCTTTTCGGGCAATTGCAGTTAGAGTGCAAAGAAGTGTAGACACTGTGGTTGGGTGTTGTCAGGCATGGCTTCGAGAAGGCTGTACGCAAAGAGCAAGGGGCACTGGATGCCGGCGTAGAACAACAGACCGTGAAGATCGCCGCCTAAGATTATTGGCCTTAAGGGACCGTTTCTCCACTACCAGGTCCATTGCAAATGAATGGTTTGCAGAACACGGAAGACCTATTGGCATGCGAAGTGTTTACCGACGAATGAGAAGTTTTGGCTTGTTTTCGTACCGGCCACACTGGGTCCTCCCTTTAACTCGAGAACACCGACGTAATCGCCTTGAGTGGTGCAGACAACGGTGACTCTGGGATCAGGAATGGAACAGTATTGTCTTTAGTGACGAGTCTCGATTTTGTTTAGGCATGCACGATGGCCGTGCCAGGGTTAGAAGGCGACGTGGTGAAAGGAGGAATCCACAGTTTTTTGTTGAAAGACATGTTCATCAACTGTTGGAGTTATGGTTTGGGGTGCTATGGCTTATGGTTCCAGATCACCTTTAATCTTCATCAGAGGTAACATGAACGCGCAGCGTTATATCCACGAAGTTCTAGAACCCCATCTTTTACCCTATATTGACACCCTGGCAGATCCAACTTTCCAACAAGATAATGCCCGACCACATGTTGCAAGAGTCACAATAGACTTCTTTCAACATAATTATGTCACATTGTTACCATGGCCACCAAGATCTCCCGACTTATCCCCAATTGAGCACGTGTGGAATATGATGGGTAGGAGATTGCTCAATTTGCAACGTCCTCCTCAGACTCTAGAAGCACTTCGAGAGGAGTTGGTGGTTGCCTGGAATGATATACCACAGGAGGACATTGACCACCTGACCAGAAGCATGCCTAGGCGCGTTGGAGAATGCGTAGCACATCAGGGTGCATCTACACATTATTAAAGGTCAAAGGGCTTTAAAGCAGTGCAATCATTTTGAAATTTTTATCATTTACTTATTATGCTTCATTAAGTACTTATACAAAATTTTATTAAAATAAAACCATTTAAACTGGGTGTTCGGATTTATTATGTCACTTAGTATATTTCTGAGTAATTCATACGAAAGCTACAATATATGTACCCTCTCCAACAACCAATTTGCAACCCCCACATTTTTAAAAAATAGTCAGAAGTCTCTGAAACGTCAAAAAAAAAACTGGATCAAATTTCAAGGTTTACAAAGCTTTTTAGATACAGCAGTTATCATGTGAAAATTTGTTCAAAATTGGGCGGTACGTTATGTATATATATCATACAACATCCAAGAAACTTAATATCTCATTTTCGAAACGTTTCGCGAGTGCCGTTGTATTCCCAACTAACAAGTCATGTTTTATGAACAACGTTTACACAATTATTTTCACAAAATATCAATTTTTCACAACGTTTTAACAATGTTTATATAGGCAATTTTAGTAAAATAAAATAGCGTTGTAAAAGCAAAAAAATAATATATATCACGGACGGTTGAAAATTATAACATACTTTTATAGTTGAGAAGTCACCAAGCAGATTTGAACTCAATATCTGATGAACATTCCAAAAAGTCGTGATTCCAAAAATTTCAATTATATGTTGATAATATTGTGTTTCTTTTTTTTCAGAAACAGTGACCTTCCTCAACGTACTGATGGCAGCCTTCATCATCGTGACCGTTCTATATACGCTAATGATCCAATATCCTACTCTGAAGCTAGAAAATGTGCTAGCGTCGCTCTCGATACTGATGAATGTAACAGAAATATTCTTTGGATTGTGGTTCCTTATGCCTTGTTATAAGAAAGTTGAATATTTTTGAAATAGAACTTTTCATAGATTGAGTTATGCATTCCATGGGATACATGATATAGAGACATGGGCGCGCGCAGGAATTTTTCTCAGGGGAGCTGATCTGCATCAGGAGATAACTTACTGTACATTGGTAGCAAATACTAAAAACCCACAAAATCTTGCAGATTATGCAGATTTCAAGGTACAATCAAAATCTAAGGGGAATGAAAGGTTTTGTTTCTTTGTGATCACAATCCTTCACTTGCTTACGCGTAGTCACGTGGGATGTCAATATTAGACCCCTAAGAAATATTCACTGTGGTTTTAAAGCACATTGCCCTAAATTTTATCACAATCGGTTGCCGTCAGTTACTGATATTACGCGGCCACAAAGCTAACCGAAACGCCTCCCCTTGATGCTAACATTACAAAACATAAACAATATTACATAGTAAATCATTTAATTAACAATTATAATTTTAAAAAGAGGTTTAAAAAGAGGTATTACTGCTGCTAGAATTGATTTTATACTAGAAAAATTATAACAAATTCGTGGTGCCTTCATCGTTATAAATGTTTGCTATCTTTGTAATTTATAGCTGTTTATGGGATAAATGATATATCTGTAGCGCACTGTAAAGGCCGACATTTATTAACCTAAGAATAGTAATAAATGACTTACCAACAACAATGTACCCGTCAGTGGTAAGGTTGTAGCTTCCCCCTCCCCCGCTCCCTGTAGCATAAAGTAGTGCGTCCACCACTGGCAGCACTTCTACCGTCGTGTTGTACAGCTTATCAGACGGATGCTCGGCGTTGCCGCTCTTGAAGTAGAATCTGGAAGATTCACAATGTAAAGACAACATTAGCAGGTGATTTATTCCCCTTGCCATTTCAGCAAAAAACAGTTCGTGCGCCACTGGCAGCATCTCCAGAACGACAGCGGAATCCCTTTGATCTTTGCCGCTCGCCACCATTAACCTTGAAATGTTTCGACGTTGCCGATTGTTATATACACAACAGAAACAGAGTCTGTTTCTGAGCGAATGCCGGAACCAAACTTAGAAAGTAGAGCCACATGTGAAAGGTGGTACCGGGCGCAGAACAACAAAGAACGACTGTCTAATCCATGCGGTGTTGCATCATCACAGCAATGTTGCCAAGTGGGATCGCCGTAATTTTCTTAGAAGTAATGAAACAGATCTCATTTTCCTATTTAAAGGAAACTGTTGATACCTAAGCTTTAAACCTTCCAAGAAAAGCTCGCTCCTCAAACCACCCCTAACGCTTCCTAAGATTTTGTATACTCAGAATTTCTTTACGGAGGAAAAGAAACCCCATCATTTGCAGCAGCAATCTGAGTGGTGGCAACTGTGGGACCTAAAGGTGGTCGCCAGGTAAATAGTTGTAAGCATGAGTGGCTGTGTGCATCAGGGTACGGATGCTTAGTATGCTCAGATACTGCTTTCAATTCTCTCTGGAGATTCTCACACTTCGGACATGAAAGGCCGGTAGGGCAATACTGTCGAGTTTTTCTGCGTGAGAATGGCTATAAGAGCTTCCCCTGTCAAAAAACCTGCTTTCAATTGGTTTGGGTACCTTCTAGACGTATATGTTATTCAGTGCATTACATACTACGAAAGAAATATTCAAATAACTGAAGGCGCATCAAAAATATCATTTTTGGTTTGCTAAAAACAATGATAAGTCATTAGAATGTCACACTTTCTGTGCCTCCTGTGATCGACACACCTGTCAGAATATTTAAGGAAAAAATATTCCGTACAATTCAAACGGATAATATACTAAGTGACATATAAATCCGAACACCCAGTTTAAATGGTTTTATTTTAATAAAAGTTGGTGAATGTATTTATCTTACTGTAAATAGCAAGTGAAAAATTTTTCAGCCTTATCAGTTGGACATTCCGGTTTTTATACCATTTTTTTTTTAATTCACTAACGCTCTAAAAATGAATATTTCAGCCGCAGTAAAGAATCAACGTTGGCGGATTTTGGTTCTTGACATCCTTTACGATCGGTTACGATGCCTAGAGTACGGAGACCTGTACGATTTCATCAACATAGTGAGTTTGATAGGGGCCGTATAGTGGGACTTTGGGAAGCTGGACTTTCTTTTCGGGCAACTGCAGTTAGAGTGCAAAGAAGTGTAGACACTGTGGTTAGGTGTTGTCAGGCATGGCTTCGAGAAGGCCGTACTCAAAGAGCAAGGGGCACTGGACGCCGCCGTAGAACAACAGACCGTGAAGATCGCCGCCTAAGATTATTGGCCTTAAGGGACCGCTTCTCCACTACCAGGTCCATTGCAAATGAATGGTTTGCAGAACACGGAAGACCTATTGGCATGCGAAGTGTTTACCGACGAATGAGAAGTTTTGGCTTGTTTTCATACCGGCCACACTGGGTCCTCCCTTTAACTCGAGAACACCGACGTAATCGCCTTGAGTGGTGCAGACAACGGTCACTCTGGGATCAGGAATGGAACAGTATTGTCTTTAGTGACGAGTCTCGATTTTATTTAGGCATGCACGATGGTCGTGCCAGGGTTAGAAGGCGACGTGGTGAAAGGAGGAATCCACAGTTTTTTGTTGAAAGACATGTTCATCACACTGTTGGAGTTATGGTTTGCGGTGCTATAGCTTATGGTTTCAGGTCACCTTTAATCTTCATCAGAGGTAACATGAACGCACAGCGTTATATCCACGAAATTCTAGAACCCCATCTTTTACCCTATCTTGACACCCTGGCAGATCCAACTTTCCAACAAGACAATGCCCGACCACATATTGCAAGATTCGTAATAGACTTCTTTCAACATAATGATGTCACATTGTTACCATGGCCACCAAGATCTCTCGACTTATCCCCAATTGAGCACGTGTGGGATATGATGGGTAGGAGATTGCTCAATTTGCAACGTCCTCCTCAGACTCTAGAAGCACTTCGAGAGGAGTTGGTGGTTGCCTGGAATGAAATACCACAGGAGGACATTGACCACCTGATCAGAAGCATGCCTAGGCGCATTGGAGAATGCGTAGCACATCAGGGGGCATCCACACATTATTAAAGGTCAAAGGGCTTTAAAGCAGTGCAATCATTTTGAAATTTTTATCATTTACTTATTATGCTTCATTAAGTACTTATACAAAATTTTATTAAAATAAAACCATTTAAACTGGGTGTTCGGATTTATATGTCACTTAGTATAGATATCCTCACTACAAAAAAATATGTCTAAATAAAAAATATTTTTTTACAAAAAAATGCACAATTTTCCACTACAAGTGATGAATAATAAATTCACGTAAAAACTGGCAACGGCGCATTCACCTCTCGCTATTAACCCCACATGACATTTATGCGACATTTTGTCCCTGCAAATTGTAACAGATGGCCAGCTTATCTCTCTCTAATTTTAGTCGCTTTGTCTGTCTTCTTTTGTTCGTGTTGTACACTTTTTGGAAGAATCCTCAGCGTTACCGTTCTTAAAGTACAACCTGGAACATTTAGAATGTAAGCACAGCCTTAGCGGGCCATTAAACCGCGTCTAGCGAAGTTTACGACTTCGTACGGTATCCGAGTTCGCCGCCAAAGCTTAAATTACGTAACATGGCCACCGGGGAGCTACATTGTGGTTGAAAAATTAGTTTCCAGGAAAAATAAGACAGCGATTCTTTGATCGATGTTATGTAACGAACAGGATGACCTCATAGACCAGGAAAGAAGTTCCAAATCTGCCGGAGTCGAACGTTAGCATTCTAGAATTTTTCTGTCAATGTTGGTTATCAATCACTTTTGAACATTACGGGGCTTAAGCAGATTATCTTATCTTCCAATCCAGATTACTCGAACAGAATAAATCAATATTTGTGAAACACAGTATTGCTCTCCAAGTATCGCATAAGCCTAGTTAGATATTTCAATTTCCATGGACGATTTGAGGCAACCTGATTAACTATTAAACTAAGTTCGTATTGCTATCGGTAAATAACGAGCAGTAGTTGTATACCTGTATTCGCGATATCCATTGGGAGTCCAACTGGAATAATAGATCTGGCATTTCTGGTGCAAATTTAATAAAGCATTCCTTCAAAACGAATCATAAATAATTGGTTTTTCGGTTCGGGTCCTTTAGACTTCTCGATTCATTCTAGACTAATGAGGTTGATAGCACCGTTTCTCCCAAAATAATCGTTTTCGAGTTATAAGCGATTTGAAGTATGAAAAACTCTAAGACCACTCATATTCAAGGCTTGATTGAAAATTAGTATTTTCGAGGCAACCAAGTGTTTAGATCAGAGTACCCCAAACTTTTTTGTATCGTGGACCCCTAGCCATGTTTTTCCGTGTTAATTTATACATTTATTAATTGAATTTAAATTAAAACTACTCAAAATAAAATTTTGTATCTGTTATTTAAAATATACGTAACATTAAATCAACAGGTGTCTGACCAATGAATGCCCGCATTGGGAATAAGTGCCCGCATTGAAAAAAAAATAAGAGGGATAAAATAAAAAAAAAAGTGAAAAATAATAAAAAAAAAAATAAATTTACTTAAAATAGTACAAAGCGAGTTCGTTTATTAATTATAACATAAACGTATGATCTACAATAATTTCACTGTTAGTTTGATTAAATTCCGCTTCTTATACGTTTACGTTATCTAAAAATAGGCAAAAAATTAACGAATTTTAGTGTGTACCTATCCTTGAATTTTCAGAATAATTTAAAAAAAATATTTTCTATAAAGGGGGTTCTTTAAAAAAATCAATGCGGGCACTTATTCCCAATGCGAGCATTTATTGGTCAGGCACCAATAAACATAAAACAAACTATAAATAAAAAAACATAAGCAATAAGTCAATATTTCTAGTGAGAAGGATGAACCTGATGCTTTAATAATAAATTATCAACATTTGGCGTCAATTTTGTAAGGGTTAATCTTAAATCTCCTCGGCTAATGATGTCCAGTCTGTTTCTTTTTTTCGTTAGGAGATTGGTAACAGCGCTGAACCCCCTTTCCACTAGGTATGACGATGGAAAGGAAATTAAAAATTTCCTCGCCATAATACGGGATAAGTAACAGGTATGTTGTTTTGCAGGCAGAATTGCTGATATCCGTTTTTAAACTGAACCTTAAGTTCTTCGTTTGTACTTAGTTCAGTCAGTTCCTCTTGTGTTATGACATTCGTTTCTTCTATGTCGCCATATGGATTAATTATCCACGGTGGTATTACCATAGTCAAAATATCCTCAAACCTAGATTCAAAATCTGAATAGGGGGCATTTAAATGTTGAACGTAAGTTGAAACGTCGTCTTCCTGGCAGCTTGTCTGTGACAAATTGGGGAACTGAGAAAATTCGCCCCGTCCAATATTTTGCTTCATTAGTTTAACTCTGGCAAGAAACGCTTATAAGATGGACTTTGTTTTAGTCAAATTTAAACTGTCGCCTTGTAATTGCAAATTAACCATATTAACTTTTGTGAACAAATCTGTTAAATAGGC